AATTATTGAAAATAGTGAGGCCTGAGCCTCATCTGGTAGAGATTACAGTGCAGGCATGCTGGGTGAAGGTCTGTAATTGAAAATCCCCAGATGCTGTTTATTTGGCCTATGTCACATGACCTTCTGCAGTAAGCTTGTCTGAACAAAATGCTGCCGGCATAGGAAGCAGAGCCCAACCCCCCACCCTAAGCCGTCTCAAAACTCAGTATGTGGACGACTTAAACACCTGCCCATAATATTTTTAAGAGCTTAAAATAGATTTGCCCATAACGTTTAAATAGAGGATGTCTTACTTATGGGTTTAAACTGCTTAACCAGTTGTTGACTTATAGAGCTCTTTTATCTACAAGAGGCTTTTTGTTAGCTAATTTAGCTTTCAAATGTCTTCAGAAAACACCACAGAAACTTTTTGTGCAAGTGCTCTCACCGCCTAATGTTATTCTGACGGGATGGAGTGGAAAAGTTTAAGACTTGGTCCTGCGATGTGCTGTGTGTTCCTAGAAGGTGCTGAGCGTGTCCAGCCCTCCTGCCTTCGATAAGGAACACTCGGAACCAAGACTTCTGATTAAAAAGAGAAAAACGGAGCCCAGCCCAGCTCTTGCTGAAGTCTGTGGAAAGATTCCCATGAAATACAGTGAGATCCAAATGAGACCCGGGCTGCACTACAAAACAAAGACGCTAAGTCCCGCTTGCCTCTCTCCTATGAATGGTCCCAGTAAAGCTAGTGAAAGAGCTTGCATAAGGTGATCAGTATTTGGCATGCTGTCTTTTATCGGGAACGGTTCCCACAATATTTCCCAAAAATGAGGCCTCCTTTAGAGGTGTCACATTGGATACCCAAAAATTCAGGTACCCCCAAACCAGTAGGCCCTGCTGAAAATCTTGTTCAGGATGAAAAACCTGTTATGGTTATGAGGCTTTGGTAGATCAAATGTTTACATTATGGGATATTAAACACACATGTGTGCAAGGTGCTTGAAAGTACTTTGTCTTGCTCCACTCCCAAGGGCTTGGGGCAATTAACAGCATGTAGCCATTTAAAAAAGAGGATCTCTGCTTATTTGTTCATTACCTGTATTTTGCTGCTGAATATGAAAATTTCTTTCTTTTAAATTAGTGACTGATTTTTCAGGTTATTAAATGGTTTAATTTTCTATGTTTAGTTTGTTTTTTATTGTTATTATATGGATTTAGAAGTCATCTATTACTGTGAGCTCTGAGTGCAGTGGTTTAATTTGTGTCATTACCATTTCAAATGGGGGACCAAAACACCATGCTGCCTTGCATCTAGAAAACCAGAAGGTGCAATTCACCACCATCTTGCTCCAGTTTAATGCTGGCATAACTCCACTGATTTTAGCATAACACTGGAGTGCTACATCAGGGGCAGAGAATGGAAAGCGACCTGGCTTGACAGTTTAAGGGGCCAATCCACTACTGGTATAAATTGTTTTAGCTCCATGGCAGCTGATCATCTGTCTCTGAGAAGCCATAGAGTGCAATGGGGGCGTGTGTGTGTGAGTGAGTGAATGCCAGCTGAATTGCCAAGTGTGAATTATGAAAAATCCTTGGGATTTGAGGGACTACTAGAAGTTTGATTGTAGTTTAAAAACACTCTGTTTCTCCATTCATGGGTATCTCTACATTTGTGGGAGTGCAGGCATGTAAATATATACTGCAAGAGAATACCTGCTTGTGCCGCAATTATTAAGAATTTTGTTTTCACCAAAAAAATGCTTTTACATAGTGTTACGATTATAAGTTCATCTCTCACTTCCCCCAACCATAAAAAATTTCACTTGACTCATACACGATCTCCCTATAATAGAGCCCTCAACAGTCTTGACTTTTGTACTTACAGCATGTTTGTGCTTGCAATAAAAATCCCAAATTAGAAGTTTTACAGTGCAGTTTTTATTTTAATATTTTTAGAACATTTAACCCTTTGGCTCCTTTCCTCGGTTACTTCAGTTTCCTGTAAGATTTTGTAAGGAGTGGTACAAGGAGTTTAGCTGTAGTTATCAACTTATACTAAAAGAAAAAGCTGTTTCCTAGATCTGTATCTGAAAATATGGGGTTGACTTCCTAGTACTGCTGATTTATAAGTGAAACAACATGTATGTCAACAGGGTTGAAAGTCTCCTTTTCCATGGAATCTTTCTGGGGCAAGTGTTGTCAACTTCCACATCATTTTTCAGTTAGAAGTAAAATCAAATCACTAAGTCTCATAATTGTAAAGGAAATCTTCTAAATCTGATCCATATTAACTACAATCACAAATATCTTCCTTCCACTACAGAGGGCACTTCAGTGTGATGCATTTGTATGCAAGAGGAGTCAGGGGTGTGGAGGAGTGAGTGGGTCCTATCTCTACTGGTTTATAAGAAGGACTTACAAGGCTGCGAACCCCAGCTTGGAGCTGTGGTCCAAAGTGCCATACCCACGAGAGAAGCAGGGCCTGTGAGCCTAGCTACGATCTTTGAGGGGTTTGACTCTTGAGTTGATACGCTTGAAGGGGGGTTGCTACCCTCAGATCTCTCTGTTTCTTGAGATGACGGTGGAGGGGGACCTCTCTATAGCAGGCAGGAAGCCTTCTTAGCTGGTCTTGAGGCAGGCAGAAGCTTCCTCGCTTATCCTTTTTCTGCCAGCTATTTTGGGTTGGCTGCTGCTCAGCCTGGAAGAATAGTTAATATGAAGGCTTTAAACTGTGATTTGGAGAGGTCTAATTCCTTTCATGTGCCAGACAATATTTATCTTGCTTTATGTTTGAAGCCTAAAAAATGGTGTTCATGTTTCTCAGGTGACAATGGCTACACTCATATTAAACTCTTTATTGAGACTTAAATGAGTCTTCCACTTTGGTTAGACTTGGAGCACATTTCTTCACTGCTTGAAAACCATGGCCAATAGAAAATCTGTAAGACTGCAGTCCTGATTTACCTTATCTGCTTGCTCTCTGTTCTTAGCATGGTAAAGGAGAGATCATGTTACCCCTGCTTGATTTACTCTGGTTACGGTAGACTTGAGCTTATGTTGTGTGAGAGTTAGCTACCCAGACCCCTCAGTGGGCCAGCTATCTTGTGGTTCGGATTTTCAGTTTAATTGCTGCTTTTCAGATTGACCAATTTGGATACTTTTCTGGAGTTGTGATTCTAGTAATTTCCAGTTTCTGTTTATTAATGAGTTTGTGCATTCTGATTATTGAAACCTTGCTTAGAGAAGGGGGTAGCTTAGGCTGAATCCTCAGTTCTGCTGAATTCACACCCCGTGGCTCTAAGCCAGCTGTATATATACTCCCCTTGCTCTCAGGCTGGCAAGAAGTCAAAACATGGTCTGTGGTATCTAGCTGAAAATGGCATCATGGTTCAGAGTGCTGGCATATATTTGTCAGATGAATAGATTTAGTTCTTGGTTTCGTACATGTTGGGTAAAGTTTCTAGCCTCTATATACAAGCATTATTTTCATTCTAAACTCTAATATGAAAGTGTGCCTAGTACGGGTATAGAAAACTTGCTTTAGAAAAGCATTAATCTTCTAGAATATTAGTAAAGGGACTTCTTTTAAATGTATTTATACCTAATAATTTATTTGTATGTAGAAATGCCTGATTTGAGTACACAAATAGAGGTGTGTATATAACTGTTTGCTCATGTAACATTTGGCTCTTAAAATATGGCCTTATGAGTCTTTGTAAAGAGTCACTCCCGTTGCATTACCCCTGTAATTACTTATTCCAGATAATAACTCTAATGTGCTGCAAACCCAAACTAAAGGGGAAGAGAAAGAGAATGAGAATGAATTTTATATGTATGAATTTCATACAGTATTTATCTGTTTACAAGCACAGAAAGCCAATGAACTACAGAAAATACAGGAAGGCTCTACTCAGGGAGACACCCCCCTCCATTTAGAGAACAAGACAGAAGAAAACTAAAAATACAGTCCAGTAAACTAATAGTGATACATATTCTGTTTCGGAAGTACCCATTGAAAAATAGATGCCTTGTTAAAGAACTGCCACTCTATCCAACAACAGCAAACTAATATGAACAAGAGAACAGCTATGAACGCCCTCTCGGCGCACACCCTGCCAGTTAACTTGAAAATGTCTTGGTGGATGGTAGAACTTGATTTCTCAAAGTCAAACTTTTAGCCTTCTCTTAAGATATTCTTATCTTCAACCACCTTATTTTCACTACACCCACACTTCATTTTGGGTGTGTTGAATACAAATAGACCTTTTAACTTAAACATACCATCTTTTTATCATGTCCCAGTTCATGCAGATCATGGAAAGTATAAAGTGAAAATAAATAGGGCATCATGTAGATGTCACTGACCTCCTTGTGAGCAATATTTAAGAAGGAAATTAGTTTAAAATAAGTTTGCAGTTTAGTTGGCTAGGAACAGAGCCTCCCAGCCATTTTAGAAACTGAAATGCTGACTATGTTTCAAACAGAGATTTAACATAACATGTAATTCGGTCTTATCAGAATTATTACCTGAGTTATGAAAGTTAGGTAGAGAAAGGTACAGTAGATCCTTTGAAAATTAGCCACTCCTTCGGGTGCCTGACAGTATAGACCCAGGTTTTGTCCCATGTGACTTGGCAGTCAGTGATAGAATCTGGGAAATCTTCAGCAAGTCTTGACCCTGTGGGACTCTCTTTCCTCAAACAGGGGGGTTCCAGTATTACAGCCGGTAGAGAGCATGAACCCAATTGCTGGTGAAGGGACATGTCTCCCCCAGTATCTGGATCTACCTGAGGTGGTGGTATTCATATGTCTGTACAGCTTGAACAGGAATGTATTACATTCCTAATGTCCAATTTGCACTGGAAAGAGAAAAATAAAAGATAAAAAATATTGAAGAATGCCACTTTTGCCAATGAAAAATATATGAAGTAAAATGACATTATCATCTCATTTGCCGTTTGAGAGCAATACATTTGTACATTTGTTGCTGTTTGGGTCTCATTGTAAATACTTTTTTGTTTCAGGTAGGAATGAATTGATAGCCAGATACATCAAACTTAGAACGGGAAAGACACGGACCAGGAAACAGGTAAACAATCCAATGGGAAACTATGCATGTCAGAGAATGACAAAACATGGCATTTTTGGCTGCAGTGGCTGTCTGTGCTTCAGCTCTGTGAGATGATATGTTGAGTTCATGACTCTGTGCTGCTTAAAAAAAAAGTTATTGTTTGTGATGTTTTCATCATTTCAGTGACCATTATTAGGCATATTTTAAATTAACTTTCATACATATGTAGCTATTGTTCCCTGAGTGTGAAAAGAATGTTTTGTAAGTCAAACTACAAACAAAGCATCTTGCATTACTCTTATATAAAGAGAATGATAGAATGTAGTTATTCTGATACGATGAATAATGGAACAACCAAATATCTAGTTAAATATCTAGTTACTTCATCTAAGCAGCCTTAGATGTGTGTGCTGGAAGGGGGTGGGGGAAAGGGGAAAGGATTCAGAAAACTCGTTCTACTTATTTGCCCTATTCCTGATTAGTAGTTGTTAGAGAGTGGAAGAAAAGAGTTGTCTGAAAAGAGACTTTGTTCTCTTGATCTGTAACCACAGGAAGATTTCATTCATAAGCAAGCCAGCATAAACCCCTAACTAGTCTTTAGTCTGTTTCAGATTATTATTACATATTCATTAAGGTATCTCATATGACTAGATTCTTTACTTTTTATACCCACAATGATTAGCTGTCTTTCAGATACACACTTTAATCTTTGTGTAGTTTATGTTTTGGTTACTAGTGTGCTAGTTTTTTTAAAAGCTTGCAAATCACAGAATCCCAGTCCCTTCTCTAATTTTGAGCGTTAGATTCTAGTTCTCCCCCTCAGTGCGTCTTGCGAAGGCTTTTACCCATGCATAGTATGCATGTTTTGTAGCATGTAATGCTGACTCAACACAAAGATGTCTGCTGCCAGGGCTCACATTTAAAGTGTTTTGAATTGGGTGACATTTTCACTTGGGTAATGTCATTTGTCAAGTAAGAAGAAACTTAAAGAACAAAAAAACCCCATGAGAAACGAGAGAAACTGCAGTAAGTAGAGAAGGTATAAACAATACATAGGCAAAGAAATCCAAAAATCCAAAGTTCTGCTTTCTCATGCCTGTGCAATCTTCATTAGCTTGGGAGTTGCACAGGTGTAACTGAGAGCGCAGAATGATTGGAAGCCTTAAACTACATGGCTTGGATCCTCAGCTGTTGTAGGGGTGTGGACAGATGTAACAATTAAAACATTTCAGATGCCTTTGAAATGTTCCAAAGGGTCAGCAGGACACACATACAAGCCCTTTGAAACATTCCAAAAGTGGCTGAAACCCTCTAAAATAGTACCTCCCAAAGTGAAGTACTATTTTGGAGTGTTGCACTTGTTATGCCTGATCAGGGAGGGAGGGAAATAGGGGTGGACAGCCTCCCTATTATCTGGCTCTGGGTCCTGGGGCACTGTTGGGACCCTGCTGAGACCTGGGCACTCCCTGCCTCGCTACCTCCTGTCCCTATGAAAGAGGAGAAGGTAGGGTGGGGGGAGGAAAATGGAGCCATCAGTTGCTGCTGCCTCCTTGAACACCCCTGTCTGGCACTAGAGGAGGTGCACAGGTTGGAAACATTCCAGCCAGGAATGGCACAGGGGCCATGCGTGCATAGAGAGGCATGGGACCCTGTGTGTGTCTCCTATCTGAATTGTTTCTTTTATAACATATTTCTAAGCACATTTCACTTGGAAATAGCTTCTTTAGAGTTCAGAGAGCCATGATGATTTATATGAGCTGAGACCTGGTCACGCATACACACATGTACAAAATACTTCTTGCTGTTTTTTTGATTCTCATTACATTTGAGAATTCTATGACAAAACTGAAAAATGCAATAATGTAAGTATACATGCAGGGGAAACCCAGACCTCCACTGTCACCCCGAGACGAGAAAAATAAAAATGTTTGAAAACCCAGTATATATACTGGACTATAACAATGTTTAATCTAAGTACACACTCTTTGGTTTTGAGAATTCATGAAGACTTTTATCCAAGTTGGCCTTCAGGGATCAGGCTCTGTTTAAACACTATAGAACAGTGGTCTCCAACCTTTTCAACCTTTTTAAGTTAGAGATCACTTTTTGAATTAAAAAGCAGCCCAAGATCTACCGTGTGCTGCCGCCACCCCCTGCACCTTCCACCCCTGCAGGTCAGTCTGTGGGGAAGGAATGGGGGAGCAGATTGAGGCAAAGGGAGAAAAAATTATTGGGGGGTGCCCCCCCCCCCCCAGCATTTAAGTCTGGGTGGGAATGGGTGGGGGGAGTGGAAAGGGTCCTGGCAGTGGGGGGGCAGATCGAGGCCCAGCTGTGAGGGAGGGAGCGGGGCATAGGTAAGAGCAGGGGCTGCACTGAGTGGGGCCCTGGCCAGGCCAGGTGGTGGGACAAACGGAGGCCTGGGGTGCATATGCCCCCTGGGCTCCTGCTTGTCCCCCACTCTCCCCAGCCCCTGCTTCTATCTGTCCTCTGCTTCCTCCTTCTTCACTGGGCCTCGATTTTCCCCCACCTCACTGTGGTGAGAGGGAGTGTGGCTGGAGAAGGGGCAGGCCCTGCACGGGCAGGGTGTGGGAAGGGGTGGGGCATACAGCCCAGGGGGAGGCGTGCCCCCGGATCTGCACGCTGATTGGGCCAGCTGCCGCTACGGGCTGGGGCCAGGGCAGCGCCAAGCTCTTCTTGGGGAGTTTGCCCAAGCTGCACCGCAAGCAGGGGCCTGTTTGTGCTGTGGGCCCTGGCTGCGCTGCGCGCTGGACAAGACACCACTGCCAGGCACCACTGCTGTCCCACTGCTGCTTTATTGCTCTGAGCTGCTGGTCCCAAGCTGGGGGTGGCCTGTGTCAGCTGTGCAGTGCTGGGGATGGAGGCAGGACTGGAGCAGGGCACCTGCCCAGGGGTGCCACCACCTGGCTCGAGCTGCTGCTCCCAGGCAGCTGCCCCACTTCAGTTCTGCCTCTGTCCCCAGTGCTGCACGGCTGACACACGCCACCCCCAGCTCAGGACAGGCAGCTCAGAGCAATAAAGCAGCACTGGGACAGCGGCAGTGCTCAGCAGTAGTGTCTTTTCTCAGAGGTGCAGCACAGCTGGGGCCTGCGGCACAAACAGGACCTGGCGTGCAACGCAGCTCAGGCAAATTCCTCGGGAAGAGCCTGGTGCTGCCCTGGCCCCAGCCCGCAGTGGCAGCTGGCCCGGCCGGTGTGCAGATCTGGGGGCAGGGGCCCCCGCGCCCTCCCCGCCCCCCCCCCCCGCCTCCCCTGTAACCTACCTATACAGGGCCTGCCCCTGTTTCAACCACACTCCCTCTCTCACTGATGCTGCACCTGCCCTTGCTGCCTGGCGTTTGGGGGGGCTCATGCCCACCAGTCTGTGTGTAGTGGAGGCAGCTGTAGTTGTGGGCTGGGCTTTGCGCCCCAAGCCCCACTGCAGCTGGCCCAGGAGCAGCTCAATGCCGCATATCTCCCACCGTGGCTCAATGCCACATGTCTCCTACCGCTGGACTGAGCCCAGCGGCAGGACGCACATGGTGTTGGGTAACTCCTGGGCTAGCTGCAGCGGGTTTTGGAGCACAAAGCCTAGCCTGCAGTGGCAGCTGCCTTGCCCCGTGCACAGATTGGGGGGCACATGCCCCCCGGGGCCTCCGCCAGGGTGCGTTCAGCAGTGGGAGCTTCCTCCATGCACCTGGACAAGCTGCCTGTACTCAGCCCTCCTGGCTAGAGCCCCACTCACCAGTGGCAGGGTGCACAGAGGGGGATCTTCCCACTCACCCAACCAGGTCTGGTGTCAGGGGGCCATGGCTCAGCTCAGCCACGTGCGTCTTGCCGCTTGTACGTCTTGCCGCTCCCGATCGCCAAGCCTCTGACAGTAGACCTCAGTCTGGGGTGGGGCTTGCTAGACTGAGAGACTGTCAGGGGCTCCCCATTTGACTGGTAGATCACGATTCACTGGTTGGTGACCACTGCTGTAGAATATTGTTGCCCTAAGAACTGTGAGTTGCTTTAAGGTACAATGACCACAGAATTTTTATAAAATGGGAATAAGAATGTCTCTTCTCTATGTCCCTTTGTCTGGCTTGCCTATTTGCATTATAATCTCTTGAGGGCAGGGATTGTCTTCAGCTCAGTTTATGTACAGCTCCCAGCACACTGGGCTCTGATTTTAGTTCAGTAGTTCAAACTCGCAGACAATACAGCCACAACAGCAGCAGCAGTGGTAACAATTATAATAATGCAAGTGAGAGATTTCTCTGGTAGCTTTTGTTATTATTGCAGTTTTAAATTTTTTTATTTGTGAATGTTTAATAATTTAATTGCTCAGCAGCTTGCATAATTTAATCCATTTTCATCCCCATTGTAATGGATTGTAATGCATGCTTGAGCAAACATGAATGTAAGTCACAGATCTTGATCATTCAGTCATCGCACCAGCAAAGTTTCCAGTAAAGTCAATCCAGCGCAGGACTGGGTTTCATTCTAGTACGTTTATCATTGAAACTGAATATGTGAAGATAATGGTCCAAATTCAGGCATTGTATTGGTTGATTTCAAACTCGTTGCCTCTGCTTCCATTACATCAGTCTTGTAGACATGTGATTGATGTTCAGGTTACAAAGAAATGCAGTTTTACAGCTTGTTTCTTTGAGATCTGTAGTATGTCAGTATTTTATCAGTTGCTACAAAATGTAGAGCTCTTAATGGGATCAAAATGCAACCTAGGGATAATTATTTGAAGCTGAAGAATGTGATCAATGTTTTCTAATATTTTATGGTGCCGCATCAAATATTGAAAACTGCCAGGCGCCTGATTCTGCATGCCCTGCAGAGGTGGGTAGTTCCTAGTCATGCAAGTAGTCCGGTTGACTCTTTGACTCCTTGAATGAGTAAAGGCTACTCATCTGCACATGGGATTTGTGTGATTCGTAACAGTGGGTATGTGGTCCACCTTGCATCCTGAACAGTGTCATCACTTCTCTTTTGTAACAGAACATTTAACTTAATACATTTAGAAGAAAAATAGTTTAATCAAGTCACTGCAGTGATGACCCATATTGTTTAAGCCTTGGTGCTAAGAGCTTGGTATCTGGCTGGGAATGTGGTATCTTTAACAGCAGAGCTTACTGAAGATGCAAATAACTCCCCCCTCTCCCCCAGAAAAAAAAGTAATTTAAAAAATAGATATTTTAAATTTGATTTCCTTTTTGTTTTTCTTTTGTTTGTTTTTTTTATAAATCTGAACAATGTAGGTGTCTAGTCACATACAGGTCTTAGCAAGAAAGAAAGTTCGAGAAATTCAAGCCGCCATTAAGGTACGTTTGGCTTGCCCAGTTGTAGGGGGCTTTTCATCTCCATGGTTACAGGCTTTTCCTTTGTTTCCTCCCTTCCCCTACCCTGCAGGTGTCTAGTCACATTCAGGTTCTTGCCAGAAGGAAATCTCGTGATTTTCATTCCAAGCTGAAGGTATGCGCTTTTCTGCTTTTGGGCTTGTGGTTGCTATGCATTTCACTTCCTGTTTTCCATGGTGATTGGTGAATGCCTGGTGCTGTGATTCTTGTAACCTAGTTTTCTTGCATGTGGTAGCTGTTTACATTTCTCTGTGTTTAATCTCTGATTTCTGCACTAGCATCCACATTAAAAATATTATTTTAACCCTATTCAAATGCAAAGTGAGCTACTCTTTGTAACTTCTCAGCACCTAAACATGATTGTTTTTTTAACACATTAGTTTTTTAACAGTTTAGTGGTAGATTGTTAGTGCATTTAAATAAAAGGAGGTTTTTTTGTGCACTTGTACACAAAAAAACAGTTCTATATTGGTAATTGGAATTGTGATGCTTCTTTTCTTTTTCAAAATGCTTTTAATCGGTGATTTTGAAATGCTTTCAAGAATACTTAAAAATAGATTATTTGCTCTAAACGCCAGACAGCACAGTCTATCTAGAAACTGTCGGCTGGGATTTACAGAGTACTGTCTAGTATCCTTTTAAATTAAATACTTTACATTTTTCTTGAAAACATTTTTTCCAAATTTAAAACATTTACTTCAATTTTATTTATTCTTTGGAGAGTTTGTCAGCATCGTGTTCAGGGAATATTACATATGCTTGTTTATTTTAACTCAATAAATTGTACATGCCCACATTTTTTCAGTTTCCCATAAGGAGGCTTCCTAGGCTAAGAGGAGCCTCTTGGAAATGACTAAACAGCATCTTTGCAAAAATTTCCAAGGGAAATCTGGTATTGTGCTGTGAGGGTTTTTTTGTTTTTCTTTTTATTAATATTACTTATAAATGCAAGGATGTTGTAGAATTTTTTAAAAAAAGAAACGTATAACTCTTTTACATCTCTTCCTTTTTTTTTTCTTTTTGCTGATTTTTTTTTTTTTTTTCAGAGAGGACAAATCATGTTTTTGTTCTAACTGAAAAGCAAAATGTTTCAGAAAGTGATTTCATAGTACTAAGTGGTAAGCACTGTGGATGCTTACCACAGTCCTGGAACTACAGTGTCTAAATAACGGACTGGCTTTATAACAGGCCTATTTGACAGAAGCATTTGGTTTTCAGTATGTAGTGGGCAGCATGCTGGCAAGCTTGTATGGCTGTTGGTGGCTGGCTTTTTAGCTGCACTGGCTGAGCAGTTGGGATTCATGAAGAACAACTAAGACTTAAACATACTGCTTTTTAACCAACGGTGCAATAATACAGAGATATGTAGTAATGTAAGACAAAATTATCAAACCTGGGTGCCTAAAGTTAGACATCCAAAGCCAGATTAAGGCACCTAAGTGGCCTGACTTTCTAACATGCTGAGCACCTGCAGCTCCCATTAACTTAGATGAGAACTGTGAGTTCTCCGGACTATGAAAATCAGGAAGCTTATTTAGATGTCTGAATGTAGATTTAGGAGCCTAACAAAATGTTGTCCTTAAGTTTTTTTGGAAAAGTTATAAATATGTTTTTTATGACTCCAGCTAAAATATAAAAATACACTATTTTAAAACAGAACTATTCTTTATTACTGCACCTGCTGTATGATTCCTCCTGAAGCTTTTCACAGAGCAAGGCAGAAAACTAAACCCCAGTGATATTTAAATATTCCCTTTTCTTAGGCTACTCTGTAGGCATTTACAATGACTAGACATCAAAAAAGTTTTTGCTAAGGTTGTTGATTTTTAAGGTGCTGGGCTAAAAGGGAGCAGCCTGCTAGTATTATTAGTATTATCCATCTTTTACGTAATGGTTTTTTTAAAGCCTACGCTCTCAGATGAGTGCAGAATAGTGGGTTGCAGCTCTTTTAGAGTTGAGTAAGAAGCTCTGTAGTGTAGCAGTGAAATTAACTCCACAGTTCTGGTGCTAACAGCTCCTTCCACTCTCATGCCTTACTAATTCCGGCGGTTCTCCACAAGACAGCCCCTTCAGGTCTCTGGAAAATGTATGTAGCAATGATACAGAAAGCATTTTTTTAAAAGGGGCAGTATCTTTAAAATTCAAATTTGCTAAAAGTTCTGTGAATAGAGCAGCACAAGGAAGAAAATGGGCCAGAGAAACACATTCTTAAATTTTGCTCTGAGAAATAAGCGGCTCTGGTCACAAATCATATAACCAGCCCTTTTCACTAAGAGGAAGGGGAAGGGGAAACCCAAGACTTTGCCTGTTTCTCCCGTCCCTTAATGGGAGCAGTTTTATTTTATCTCCAGTGTCCTAGCCTCCCTATGGGGCTGGTTTCTATGAGCCAGTGACAGTATTTGACCTCTCGCCCCAAAACAAAGGGTGTCTAGCATGTGGAGGGGATGAGCACATCCATGATTCTTCCCAAGCAGATGGCCCACCACTGCTGCGTTCTTCTTGGTAAACTTGGCAGGTTTAAGTAGCAGGGCCTTCTGGCTGTACTTGCCTCTTATAATGTCTACACAGTCCTATCCAGATAAAATACAGCTTCCACAGATTTCTTTTTCCCAAAAAATGGAGGAGTTTAAATTTTGAGGAGGAAGCTAGTTGCTGTGAGCAAGGCAGCTATCATTCTACCTGTGCTTTAGGAAGAATCTCACTTCTCCAGATGTTTTGTATTAGAAGGATTGTCTTATTCATGCAGCAATAAAAAATTCTGCATCTAGCCACCCACACTGCCCAGCATACTCTGAAAATAACCTTCAGGAAATGATTAGAACCAGATAGATTTTGGCATCCAGGGAATTTACATTTACTTTCTGTGCTGTTTTAGCATCAGTCTGGAATGTCCCCCAGAACACATAAGGGAGGTTATGCATTTTGTTTCTTGTAGGCATGGAGGCGCTAGTAGTTTGCTATATGAGAATCATCACCAGCAGTATCATCTTTTTCTGATGCCTTTCAGATGCCTTTGAGCATCACTCAACAAGTAAAAGCTAACTGGATGCATAGTATCTGACATAAGAATGAATATTATTAATTCTGTATCTTAGCCCCTGCATTAACTATTGTTGGCCACTCATGCAGTCCTACATGGAGCTAATACTAGCAATTACTTTTTTGGAGAATAGTTTGGGTAGTATTCAGGGAACCAGTCAACACTTACAAATATATATGCCTCCAATTTCTTAATGATCGCATGAGGAGAAAATCATGTTAATGGAAAGAATCCAAGGATGTTTCCTGTCTGTCCATAATTACTCATTCAGCTCAATTCCTGATTAATGATCTTCCTCAAGTTCTTCATCTCATGTCATAAAACTATTCCCTAACATGCTTCAGCTACAGAGTATCCCGTATAAACCTGGTAACTTTCTATGGAGCAGTTCAGCAATTGCTTTATTGGTGTTTCTAGGGGTATTTGGGATTGAACCAGCACTGGAGCATGCAGGACTTCAAGCTGGTGGTGCTTTATGGTAGATGTACTGCCCTAGCCCTTAGTCCAGTTATTCTCAACCTTTGAAGGGTACTGCAGGAGGTGTGAGGAGATGAGCACAAGCTTGGCCACTCCCCACCATCACTGTCCTGGCCCTCTGCAAGGACATAAGCACTGTAATAAATAATTCAGCTTTTGAAATGGGGTAACATTCAATTCACACAAGTTATGGAGGGATGCCTTGAGTCTAATGAGGGGCGCCTTGAATCTGAAGAGCTTGAAAATCACTGCTGTAATCCATCTCTTGGCCAGTAATTTTTGTTGTGCCTAGCTATTATGTTGGACTGTAGGGCTGCCTATACAGGTGTTTGGAGGTGGTGGTGGGGAGGGGGGGTGTTTTCATTAGAATGGTTCCTGGGCAGCCACTCTAGTTAAAATGCCTCAGCATCCCATATATTAAGCCTCTGCATGTTTAAAAATGGCCGCAGGATGCTGTATCTAAACCTCATTCGACAAGGTTTAGTTCAAGAGCCCTGTGGCTATTTTTAAATGCAGGAAGGCTTCATACACGTGACGCTGTGATGATGCTGGAGTATTTTAATTGGAGCACAGAGCAGAGTATTAATTGAGTCTGCTCCAACATGTTCTAATTAGAATGCCAACAAGCATGTGCATAGGCAGCCAAGGGGTCTGACTACTTATCCCAGCAAGACATGGGTCTCTTGCCTTGTTCATGGTCTTACAGTAAACAACTTTTGATCTGAAGGTACCTTGTAGGTTTAATTTAAACCGGAAGATCATTCTACCTACCCTTTATCTAAACCAAGCTAATGATAAGGAGAATATTTGGCACTCTTGCTAAGGAATTTAAGGCATCTGATCTTATGATTCTCCTCTGCCAGGATCCCAGCTATCAGTGCCCTAGGAACTGGGTGGTATAATGTTGAAGCTCACCTAACTGGTGATATTTCTTACCTCCTCACTGTAAAGTCTGTTTGGCAGGGCCAGTGTACCTGTAATGTATGCCAACAACTGCTCCAAATTGCTGGAATTTAGCTTACGAGGAGGAGATGTTTTATCTGTTAATGTTAATACTACATCTCGGAGACACCAATCTAGAATGTCTCACAGATCTATTGCCAGTCAGGTTTAACATTCTAGTTCCTTGTAGGCCAGGAGATTAGATAATCTAGTTTTAGGGGTCTGATGTTCCCCTCACTCAGAGTGTGGAAATTTCATCTGGAGAAAGAGGAAAGAGCACGCAGGAGAAGAAAATTCTTTGGGCATCTATACACGTGCTCTGGGGTGGACAGCGGTGGGGTGGGGGATGCTTTAATCAGAGTGGCTCTCAGATGGGTTGCAGCCTTTTCTCTCAGAGCCATACTAATTAAAGTACCCATAGTGTCATGTGTATTCAGCGTCCTGCGCCTCAGAATGGAAGTGGGGAAATTTTAATTAAAGCTCATTCGATGAGCTAAAACGTTAAAGCACCCCTGCCGCCATTTTGAAATAGAGGATGCTGAATACACACAGTGCTGAGGCTGCTAGAGGACACTAATTAGCACACTCCAGCAGACTCGATTAATTGAGTCTGCTCCAACACATGCTAATTAGCACGGGTCAGAGCAGCAGTCCATCACGTGTATAGGTGCCCATTGTAGAGCAGCGGTCCATCATGTGTATAGGTGCCCTTTGTGATAGAACTTATAAGGGAGTTGTTTTTGAAGACAGCTACTCTTACTCAGGTGGAAAAGGCTACAACCCATCGTTCTGAAGACCAAGAAACAACTGTATCAGGGAAAAAAATTCTGCTTTGCTTTCTCCACATTGGTAGTGGAGCCAAATCCTTGTATCTGCTATTGAAGTCAATAGGAGTTTTGCTTAAATAAAGAAAGAGACTGCATAATTTGAGTAAGAGTCTCTTTGACTTTGATTTCAGGTATTCTTTCATAGTATAAGATTAATTAAAGAGCAAAAAGAAGCATTAAAATACCTACAGTTCATACACATTACATGTTTTAAAATCCATTATTCTACATTCCACACTGAAAGATAAAAAAGAAAATATTGTTTTCAATCATAGAATGCTAAAGATAGCTCTATAATTTTTAAATGAACAATGATAAAAGCCTTGAAAAATTCCCTTTGATGTGAATGGAGTCTTCAGCATTTTGAAATACAATAAGATGGATTAATTGCTACTCATTAGGCAGCAAGTTGGGACAGCTTTGAATGCGCATTCTCTTCTTGGCATTAGCTATTGCCTGGCTGAAATAGCCAGCTTTTGTATTTACTACTGTCTTCTCTAATAATAAGCAAATTGGAGATCGGGGCTAGAAACATTCAAGTGCTCTCTATCTTTTGTCCAGAACAATTGTATATTTTCATGATTTGTTTATCTTTTTTGAGCTGCAGCTAATAATTGCAAAGGTTATTTGAATCAATACAGTATATGAGCAGAAATAACATCTGCAAAATTGCTTATTAGGAAACTATTTTATGTTAGTGTTACTGTAATATCCATTTTGTGAGCAAATTGCTGTTTCTTCTATATCACATTATATTTTTCTCCTACAAGAAAAGTTTTGTCTTAGAAATAATTGTGTAGGTTTTAGGGTTTCTTCAATTCATATGCTCTTCTGTTGTGCTTAATTTTCTTATGCTTAGATATTATTCAAAATCTATATGGACAACATGGTATTGATAGTCCTGTTTATCATTCTAGGATAACAGATCTTTTTTTTGTGGTAGAACTAGTTTATACTGATTAATTGAATTATTCTATTGTTTATGTTGGAATGAAAAAAGTCAAGCAAGAATCCTAATGTGCCTGTCAAGTAAAACTCTTCTTTTACCTTAAGTGGGGTTCTTTTTGCATTTTAAAAATTGTAATTTTATGATTTGGGGGAATTGTTCTCAGCTAATGCGACACCAAACTGAATGCGTTTAAAAACCCAAGGGTCTGATTCATTAAAAGGTATATTTTCCTTCTATATTAGATTCTTACATCTTGCCCATTACACACACATGTGCGCACACAGATTTAACAAGTAGAGTCTACTAAATGCCATGAGTTGGATTCTGATTGTGTTTACACTGTTGAAAATCTAGTAACTTGAGCATAATTATCCCAGGTTGTCATCTGAAAAGCCAGCCCAATGCTCCTATATATATATATATATCTCCAACTATCAGAATTCTGTAATGGGGGAGAGAGATTATATTTTAAAAGTGGCATCCGCAATCTATGATTTACCAGGGTGTCATTCTTTGGCAGCAGCAATCCCATCAGAGTTCATAAATTAAGTAAGGTTAGGCCAGGTCAGTTCTGGATGGGACACATTTAAAGAATACCTTAAGCTGCTGCAGGAAGTAATGGTGTTGATGCAGCTGGAGACACTCTTCCCTCTGAGGCTTTAACGTATGCCATTATATAGTTGAGTAACTTCATGGATTTCAGGGGCCTTGTTTCAGATTTATATAGCAGTATGCAGAAGCAGGCACCCTATCTCAGGCAAGATATAAAATTACATTTCTAACCACTTGAGGTCATTGAAGATCCCATAGCATTCTCTTTTAAAGCAGGGGTGCTACCTATTTGTCTCAGTCAAATTCCAGCTCAGGTAATTATTGTAAGCTGCCTGCTTAAATTCCCCCTGCAGTTTTAATTGGATAGAGCTGTTTTCACTTTCTTTCTTGTGTAATGTTGCTGTGGTATTATTAATCATTTACTGGGCTTCCCCCTAGAAATGGTTGCATTTCAAGGCAGATAAAGTGCTCCCTTTCTACTTATTTTTCAGGCTAGGTGTGGCTGTATGCTCTGTGTTTAGTTTGTTTGGTTTTTTGAGGGGGAAGTGAGCAATGTTAGATAAGGACAGCATGTCATACTCTTATTTAAATAAAAATGAATCTCAAAATGAGATTTTCTTTGACTCTTTGGAAGATTAGTGTCTTAGGCCTAAATTAACAGGTATAGATCAGTTGCTACTCTCACTGACTTCTACTGGAGGAAAGAATACTCAGCATCATTTTAAATCATGGCCTCTTGTCCACTTGTATTTGTTTTTGAAATGAGAAAGTAGTGTAGGAAGGCGTTATTTAACTATGAAAAAGCTGCCTTTCTCATAATCTTAACAAACTGTGCAGGGCCAAAGACAAGGCCAAACTCAGGCTGATTCTAATTAATTTTTATTTTTGGTAGAATTCTTAAATCTAATTAAACCAACTGAAAAATAGGACAACAGAGACTTTCAACAGTCTGTGAGACTGTCACTCTGCTCCAGTGGTTCTCAACCTTGTTAGACTTGTGACACCCCTGGGTAGGCCTGAGGAACCCCTTGGAAAATACCAGCTCTCGGTTTTCACTCTTTTTTTAACTACAGAAAAATAATAGTTTTTTCTGTTGCAAAGGGCTCAGAAAGACCCCAACTATGGATTTCTATTTGAAATTTCTGGGTTTATCTTGTGAAACACGTTTGCAAACCTAATAGTGCTAACATTGCATGGCACTCCATGACACCCTTGAAAAAATTTCAAGACACCCCTAGGTGCCATAGTACCCTGGTTGAGAATTACTGCTCTACTCCTGGGACTGTTTTCCTGCCATCTCATCAGTTCTGACCTTTATCATCTGTCAACCTGACTGAAAATGTACCTATTCAAAGTGGGTAAAATTAATTGCCACTGTAAAAATGCAAATAGTTTAGCAGCACAGAGCAGCAACACATAATCTTAATTATTTGGAGACTTCATGCCATAATGAGATTTAAAAAAAATAATTTATTTTTTTGGGGCCTCTAGAATAATTTAAATATGCTCTCCATTGTATATTCCCTATAACTGCTCCAGTAATTCAGAAATGCAATAGTCATATCACTAATAAAGCATAGCGGCCTTCCAACCAACTACAGATATTATCTTGGCACTTGCTCATATGTAGAGCAAACTTGTATATGAAAATGAAAATCTCTCAAAGCTTGTTTTTTGGGTTTTTTAATTAATTAATTTATTTTTGTCTGTGACAGTTCAATTCACTGTGGCATGAGTAATGGTCAGAAATGCGTTTCTGTCCCAAGCCATGCATTTAAATATTTACCTCCATTATGTATAACAAAGACATGGTAGGATCAAAGCAATATAGGTTTGGGAGTGTTAGAAGGACCGAGCACTTGGCTTTACATTAGTGGTTGTCAACATTTTTGGACTCAAGGCATCCCTCTGAAAATGTCAGCTCTTTAGTTTTCACTCTTTTTTTTGACTACAGAAAACTAATGGTGAAGTTGTTTTGTTCCAAAGAACTCACAAAGACTGCAACAGATCAGACCATTATTGACACTATGGATCTGTATTTGAAATCTCTGGGTTTATCTTGTGAATCATGTTTACATACCTAACTGTACTACCATTGAGAGGATCTCAAAGCCACCCGGGTGCCGCAGCACCTTGGTTGAGAAGCACTGTTTTCCATGATGGCACTGGATTTATTTTATATACAAGAGAAGAAGCTGTGCAGGAAACTGCTGGCAAGACCAGAAGCACAGTAGGAGTTTCTGGTGATGACATGATAATCACAAGCGCAGAGTTCATTTAGTTCAGGAGGTTACTAGGATCAAGAAGTTTGTGTGTATGCTGTGTCACTTGGCTCACATACTTCTCATGCAAGATATTGCTCTCTTCTGCATGTTTGCTTTTGCAAAGATTCAGCCAACTGGACATGAGATTTAAAGTGTTGACTTCTTCAAACCTGATTTTAGGGATGTGCCTAAGTAAGGACTGGTGGATGGGACTCCATGCCTACAGTCTTTAAGTCAGAAATTAAAGAAACCACAGATATTGCTTGAGGACCATATTCTTACTTTTACGTGACTTTTCATTTACAGAGTTTCTTTCTCGCTGTTGAACCGCTAAAGAGATTGGCCCCTTAAACCAGCAGATCTCTTGAAAACGACATATATCTTAGGGAACTGACTCCTTGTGTCCCCTTTATAGCAGACCTGCTGTCCATTTATCCCTAACAGTTTTGCAGAAGCTGTGTTGCACACTCACTATTCCCTAAATTGGACTAGCAGGAGTAGGTACAGATGGGTCCACAGGTGTTAATATTGCCTCTAAAAGCACTAACACCTTCTCAGATTTCAGCCTTTAAACCTGAAGGGTGCAAAGCTACTGAGAACAACTACTCCCCTGCTCCACCTGCTGCCCTAATAAACCGGCAGAGGACCAAATATGTAAAGCTTTATCCAACAGAGGAGCTTCCTCAGGGTGTCACAGAGCTCAGGGATATGTACTTCAGGACTGATACCCTTCGGCTAGGATCTACTGTTCTTGAGAGTGAGGAAGGATATTTTTATTATTAGTTTTAATGAATCAGTCCCTTGGTGCAAATGATTTACTTGCTTATGCCTAAGATTTAAGATTGAGCAAAATGTTCTTCCTTTGTCTCTTCTTACACTGTAGAGTATTTTACTAAAAACCTGCTATTGTGCACAAACATTTTAACAAACTGTTTGTTGTTGTATCCAGGTAACAAGCATGGTAAGTATTTTAACTAAACCAAGTATTATGTACTTCAGCTGTGCTTGGCAGAATTTTTGGCTAGCTTTTACTGTACTTTCAGCCTGCGCTGTTTCTAAAGGAGCTATTCCAAGGAAGAAACCGCTCACCTATCGTACTACTACCTATAAGCTTGAGAAGGAACGTATATGCAAATTCATCTACCATAAATAAAAGCATGCATCCCTTGCCAGCATGTTTGCTACTTTGCTTGGGAAAATGAAGTTGCCTAATACTGCTTGTGTTCCTTCAGTGTAAGCCACATACCTAAACATTAGCACTTGAATTAGTACAGCATTTCTAAATGAATAGCCCTACTGTGGCCATACAGTAACAGTTTATGGTTACCTATTGTGTTCTGCCCTAAAATATCTATTTTCCTAACTCTGCTGGGGTAGAGACCATCTTCTTGTTCTGTATTTGTACACAATGAGGTCTTGAGTTGGGACCGGAGCATTCAATCGCTACAGTAACACAGGGATTTTTTTAAAGCTGTATCTCTATGATTTAAAAGTAATGGGGAGAATTGTAAATAGAAATCTCAAATTAGAAACCACAGAATGTTTTTCCTTATTTTTATGACAAATTTGAGGAAAAAAAATGGAGAAAAGAATCTGAAATACCTACAAAGAAAAATAAATCAGTATTCACAAGTTCCTGTATTTCTGTGTTCTCCTTTAAAAGTTTTCCATTCTAAAGGCAAACTTCTCTAACAATCAAAGCTAAACTTTGCTAGGCCCCAATCCTGCAAACTTTAGAATGGAAGTTTTCCATTCTAAAGGCAAACTTCTCTAACAATCAAAGCTAAACTTTGCTAGGCCCCAATCCTGCAAACAGAGCCACTCAGGCAGACCCCCACTGAATTCAAAGATATATGAAATCAGTGGAGTTTTGCGTGGACAAAAATATGTACCTGCATGGGTACAAGTGCAAGGTTGGAGCCACAATGTACTCTCCCAGAGCTCCCTGCATGTCAAGCAGATTGCAAGAGTTCAGCCCTACTGTGCCTGTCTGAGAGGAGAATTTTTGCTTTGAGTTAGTTTGGGTATAATTAGCTTTCATGCTATATTTTTCTGCATGGTTTGCTATTTTTGCATTTTCTGTGTGGCTTTTTAAGTGTTAGTTATGTGCTTGTAGCTGCACTTATGTAACACAATTTGTCGTGTCAAATGGTTTAAGACTCCATGTAATTGTCATGTTAAAGGATCAGACTGCAAAGGACAAAGCACTCCAACACATGGCAGCAATGTCATCAGCTCAGATAGTATCAGCTACTGCTATTCACAACAAGTTGGGCCTGCCAGGAATTCCCCGTCCTACATTTCCTGGTGCACCTGGGGTAAGTTGTTAACCAACCCCAATAAAAGTATTTCTAACAGTGATCAGTAGGAAATGAAGGCTAGATCAGTTGATTGGTGTATAAATTGTATTTTTGTCTGCTTTTGCAAAACAATTTTTTTTATATATATAATAGGTAATAGTATGCTACAAAGAAAACAATGGCAACTTTTTTTTTTCACCTCTAGTTTTGGCCAGGAATGATACAAACAGGGCAGCCTGGATCCTCGCAAGAGTAAGTCTGCAGATTATGGATGTTCTTCTCTGTATGGGAGTCACTGGGATTCACTGACAAAAGATACTAAGGAAAATATTTTGACTTGTAAATGATAATTGCATGTAAAGGAATACCCTTTATAGTTACACTAACTCCTGTTAAAATTTCAAGGGGCAGAAACTAGACACCAGCTGTGGACAAGCCCTTTCTTTTAACCAGTACCATAGCAAGGAAGTTTCTTGCCCAGGGCAAATCCTGCAGTGGATTTTCCCACCCTCACCCCGCGCACAGATCTGGGGGTTACACGCCCCTTCTCCCATGCTTGCCCAGGGGTGCATACACTGGCAGGAGCCACCCTTCCTCCATCCCCATGCGCCCCCAAATGAGCCGCTCGTAGCTCTGTCCCATGCCCCGCCCCAGCTGGGCAGCGCTTATTGGCACCCCTTTGCTTCAGCACCTGGGGCGGTTGCCCCGCTTGCCCCCCTTATTATGGTACTGCTTTTAACCCCTTGTAGAATTGTACATAAGGCAAATGTATAGTAGGGGCTGTATGTATATGTATGTGCTTGTGTGTGTGTTATATTATATTATATTATATTATATTATACACATCTACCTACCTACCTACCTACCTATAAAGTATATATGTATATTTCCGCCACAGATCTTTCCATTCCCATTTTAACACATAAGGCATGTGGGAGGAAAAGCCATTCTGAAACTCCCATTTTACTTTAGGGCAGGAGACGACCACTTCAGGTGCCACTACTGCATGAAGGGCCTGCAGTAGGGCTTGCAGCTGTGTAACACTTTGGTGCCAATAATTTTGTCCTAGGACCTTTATACCTGGATTGCCTTCCTCCCCCCTGCCCTGCAGGAAAGTAGAAGTACCTCTGGATCACCTTTCCCACGCTTGCTTTATGGCTTTATCCAAGGTCCATTGATGTCAGTGGAAGTGTTTCCATGCAGTATGCTTTGGAATCATAGAAGGTCACAGTGGCTGCTTCTGACATCTAGTCTGACCCCTTACGTAACAGGCCATAGAATGTCATACAGTAATTCCGTGCTACATAAGTGAATATTGTCAAGTTCAATAACTTGTGAATTAGACTCTTTGTTTTAAAATATTGGCTGTTACTCTAGAGACTGCTTCCTCTCTAGATAATCCATTTATTGCCCGTCTTTTAAACATACACTTAGGAAAGAGATGGATGCTTTAGAAAAGCCTACCAACAATACTTTTCCTTACACTTTGTGACTCTAGCTGAATAAAATGGGAATTGCATTTTATGTGATTTTTTTTTTCTTTCTCTTTTCCCTTTCCTCCCTCTTTTCCATGTTTATTCCAGTGTAAAGCCATTCGTTCAGCGGGCCTATCCTATACAGCCATCAGTCACAGCTCCTATATCAGGTAAGTTTTCATTTTATGGTCCCCTCTAAGTAGTGCTGAAGTGCATAGGGAAAAGTAATGGATGTGTTTTATTAATTCTTGTGCCACACACAGCTCAATATTTGGGATCCAGACTCTCCTGTGTTTTGACCAGACTCTAATGTACTAGCAATTGATTCACTATGAAGAAAATTCACTGTTTAAATGGAAAGCAGAGACTTTTTCTTTAACCAAGCACTGGAATATGTGCTAGTATTTTCTGTGGTGCTAAATCATAATTCTTGATTGAACTTCAGATTATGGCAACAAAAAACCTGTAAAGAACATAATAGGTAATGGGATGCAGATAAGAATTTAAAGGTTCAACCTTGCTTCTTTGACTCATGAAAATAAGTCTCTTTATTCAAGGCAGGCATAAAATTCATCCAAAGCCACATGTGCTCAGTTTCAAAGGTGTAAACCATATACCCCACATACACCCGATTGCCATCTGCTTCCTGAGCATCTGTCTATTCAGAACTGGCAAGCAAGCCTTTGGCTGGTGGAAGCCTCGTTTTCCTCTACCATCTCTTGCCATGGTTTCCCACTGCTAGTTACACTCATCGGCATTTATGAAGAAATAGGATTATAGGGAAGTAGGTCTAGAAGGGATCTTGCAATGTCATCTCATCAGGCCCCCTGCTCAAGGCAGGATTATCTCTAACTAAACCATTCCAGCCAAGTGTCTGTCTAACCTGCTCTTGAAAACTTCCAAGAATGATATTCCCAGTTTTGCTCAATGGCCTATTCCAGTGCTTGACCACCAAATGATGCTCAATAATGTACCCTCACCACATTTTTTTATTCTACTCATTTCTCACCTCTATCTGCTGTTCTGGTATTGTAACTTCCTATTTTGTATACTTGAAAGATGGGAGCCATTTTTCTAAGTAAAAACTTGCAAGTCTTCCTAACTTATAAAATGTTGCATTCAAAACTAGAAATTTTGCACATTTTCAGGGTTTCTTCTTCCAGATTTCCTTTCTAGAAATCCATTTTTTGACACTGCATACCTTCATCAATTTAATGGTTTTTACTGTAATCCTCACTCACAGTTAAACAATTTGAGTCTTGAATATCTTGTACTTACCTTCCCCTTCCTTCCCACCCCAATTTTTTTTTTTTAGTATATAAAAAAGCTTCCTAAATCTCCACTGTCCAAGTTTTGAGGTGCAGAATAATAACACCAGACTCCTATTCCAGGAAGAAGGACCATGCTTTTGTAGTCCTTTTTTAATTTCACTGATTTGCTGACCAATTCTGAACTCAGAATTTTCTCTTAGATTTACAAATCTGAGGATCCCTACATCCTGACATGCCTAATTCCACATATGTCCTCTGATCATTTGTTCCATTCATCTTCCTTCTCTGACTTTCCAGTGGTAGTACCAAGAGGGCACAGTTATTCTTTCGTTTGTGATGAATCAGTTTTATTGGCGGACAATGTGTCCCTTTTTTTGGTTAAATCACTTCCTTTATATTCTCACCGTAAAGAGAAAGGAAGCATTTTAGGTTACAGTTCAACTCCACACCTAACTTATTTGTATTGTGGTAGTGCTTGAAAGCTCTAGATGAGGTCAAGACCCCATTTTGCTAGGCTCTGTAAAAACACGTAGTACAAACACATGGTTTCTGCCTTGAAAATCTTATACTCTAAATAAATAAGAACAACAGAGAGTGGGAGGAGAAAGAAAGAGAGAAGTGATATTGCCTGTGAGCACATAGAAGGCTGGGGGCTAAGTGAACCAGCTCCTGATCTCCTGACTTCCATGGCAGTATTCTATCAGACCGTGCTGCCTTGTGGCAAGGAAGGTTAGTTGGAAGCCTATGAAAGGGCAGAAATCAGTTAGGATTTAAAGAAATATTCTGCATTGTCTTTCAGACTCAAGAAATTGTGAAAGCTATGGTTTGGTTTAGAGTCTTTAACGTACAGCTACATTGCTGCTTTTACAGATTGGAACCTAGATCTCTTCACGGTATCTACCTTTAACAAATAGCAGGCCCAAGCAGAGTTAGGGCATACAAAATCCTATCTGAATTTGTGAGAGGTGTGTGGCAGCATCAAGGTATATTTAATCTAGGACAGGGGTGTCAAACATCCATCCTGTGGGGCTCCTAGAGGAGGCAGGGTGAGCAGGGGCTGGGCCTGGCATGCAGTTCAGGGGTACAGAGCACTGTTGTGGACACTTGGTGGCAGGTTGAGCACTGACTGCATTAACCCCTACAGCTCCCTGACACCACTTGTTCAGCCATCTCTGCTCAAACTGCCACCGGAGATGGGGCCAAATCTGTCCTGTAAGGAGCTTTTTAGTCTGGAACTGACCCAGGGAGCCACACAAGTTTGACATGCTTGATTTAGGAAATGGAGACTGAGATATTGCACGACATGTTCCTTCCTTCAAAAAAAAAAAAAAAAAGTATCCTTTATGTTTTCAGGATTTGAGCCTGCATCAGCTCCAGCTCCTTCAGTTCCCGCTTGGCAGGGCCGATCAATTGGTACAACCAAGCTCAGACTGGTGGAATTCTCAGCTTTTCTTGAACAGCAGAGAGACCCAGAATCCGTAAGTGTTGTCCTAACTCTCTGCACTTTTCAGTTGATTCTCCACATTTCTAGTCCCTTCCTACATGCTTTCCACAATTGGCACTGATATAGCTGTAAATGTATTTCTTAAGTTTTTTGTGTTCAACATTGATCAGTGTGAAATAATATTGCTCTTAGTACAACACAGCATTTTCTCTTTCCAACCATTTTTTATAAAAGTTATTGCTTGTATAACTATAGAAGCTAATGCTAGAAAAATCAGGGCCTGTCACATTTGCCACTTCTGGAAGCTGAGGAAGTTTCACTGCACAACTATGCCAAACTACCTCATTGATGCAGTTTACCAGTTGTACTAAGCTTCTCTGTTTTGGGAGGGCTTTATTCAGCAGAATACTTAAAGGTACACATGTGCTTAAAGGTTTTCCTTGAACAGAAAAGTTTAAGGACCTGCTTAAAAATCAGGTACATTCATAGGTGCTTTGTTAAACCATGGTCTTTGTGATATGATCACAGTTTCTCTGGGTGCCAAGAAGAGAGCATAATCACCCATGTTATACTCCAGGAGACTCGAAATAAAATGTATCACCCACTGAATCTCATCGTTTAATACGACTTTTTAAAGTGTCATTTACACAAGAAGCTATTGAATCACCCTATGCATCAGTGTTAGATAATTTTACTCATTACAATACAGAGTTTTCCCCCTTAATTCAGTTTTAACCTGGTTTTAATTTTTGCCTCTGAGCAGTGTGGGTTGATATTTTGCACAAACAGTTCTCTAAATGTCCAAACATGGTGCATGTTTTAACTTGAATTTCTCTTGAGGCCAAATTCAGTCAAAAAAGTTGGATTTTGCACTGCAGTATTGCAGACCATTAGTGGATCTGGACACAATATTTTTTTCTAATTCCTCTAATCCTTACTGAGCTGCTTTTTTGACACTCACCAATGTTTTGTTGCTGTGAATGTTTGTTAGCAGTTTAACTGCTTCTACTACATATCACAAATCATCAGAAATCAAAAGAGCTCATTTCAGTTTCCTGTAGAAGAAACATTGCAGAACCAAGAATTTGTATTGAGATGATTTCTGAAAAGCAAATTCTTATGAGCATGTGGTATAGATGGTTCTTTCTTCAAATTGCTGGTAAAATACAATAGTATGGAACAGAGTAAAGCTGTCACATGCTGTTTTATAATTCTGTACTAGAAACCATAGAATTTATGAGCTACGGCCAGGGGATGTTATCTAGGGAGTGTTTACCCTGCATAATGGGGATCAGAGACATAGCACAGAACAGAGGAATACTTGCAACAGAGGAGTCTGAGAGAAATACTATAGTGAAAATGCAACATATCTTAACAATTCAGATATGAATATATGTGGCAGAATGTTATGCTGTTCAGTGCCGTATTTTATGTTGAATTAACCTTAGGTGTGTGTCAAAAGTTTGGGCCAAATTTGCAGCCACTTAGACCTGTCAATATCAGGAATAAATCCATTATTTTCTCTTTCTATGTTGTATCAATTCCGTATTTTATAAATACTTATAAATACTTATTTTCAAATTCTTCATTTAACACAGAGGATTTAAGACTATGCTCTTGGGGATTGTACTGTGATCCTTTTCACTCTGGTGTAAAGTAGTAATGACTCCTTTGAACTCAGTGGGTGCATCTACACACACACTTTGCTGCAGAGCTGGCGAATTAGCTCCACAATTAAATGTCACCTATTAGGGGGCAGTAAATTAATTAACTCCACTGTAAGGTAGTACTGTACAGGACAAGTACTATCCTATAGCAGAGTAGTTATGCCTGCTGAAATGCACATGTAGACAATGACTGGGGCTGGCTGGAGTATGAGGGTGCTATACTGCAGGAAAGGCCTGTCAGCCAGCCCCACACTGTAGCACCCCTGTGCCCCAGCCAGCGCCTCTGCAGCATGTTGAGCACAGCAGCCCTGGTCTGGCAGCCTGACCCCCTCCTCCACTCCCCGGCTCCCCTGCCAGCTGGGGCTACCCCACCCTAGCTCAATGTTCTCAATGCAGTCCTGGGAGCATGTGTAAACACTGTGCGTGGGAGCAATAAACTGGTGTGAATTGCACCAGAGTTTATTGCTACGTGCTAATTGCGCGTGTAGATGCACCCAGTGGGATTACTCCCAGAAGATATTTACATTAGACATTCTGAGTTTTTTTGTAATGTATAAAACTATATTTTTTTTGTAGGGTTTCATTTTGTGCCAATCCCATTGCCCATAAATATCCCTTCCTTGAGACCCTGGGAAAAGTCATGGACAACATACACAAAAGATTCACAAATCCATGCTCTGGAATAATAGTGGTGGGGGAAGTGCCAAAGTTATGGACCATCTCAGAATTAACTGCCAGCAACTTCCTGTCATTTATATTGCAAGGGATGCAGCTCATATGCTGGACAGAAATACAACCAGCTCTTCCCCTGCCTTCTTCAACCCACCAGCTCTGTCTCAATCTCATCTAACCTCAGGCACAGTCAGAAATCTCCTCTGAGCCCCAAGTCCATCTAAATGCTAGCTAATTCTTTCCCTTAACCTGGCTGGTTCAGATGGGATGAAGACGCAAAGAGGATTGTTATAAGTATTATGAATGCAAGGCAACTTTGTCTTTTCATTTAGCTTTCTATGTAAGAAGGAGTCCATATGACCTGAGAGCTGTACCAGCCCTACTTTTCTATAATTCTTATATAGATCCCTACTCCACGCTGCAGGAGCAGTCTTGGGGCAAATAAACAGTTGTTCACAGCTGTCCCTTGGGCTCTTAGAAAGCTAGTAAAGGCTTTTCAGAGCTACTTTTTTCTTGTCAAAAACATAGAATCAGCAAAACCTAGAATCCACATGGCCAGTGGTGTCAGTAAGAGGCCACTCTATCTACAGCAGTGAAGGATAGCGTGGGTGGCCTGTCAGAACAACGTTTTCTCTGGGCTAGATAAAAGCTCATTGTTTTCCTCCAGTCTCTGAGGGAAGACCAGCAAACCAGGTCCATTACCCTGTGAGGACAGGTGCACCCCAACCACAAATTGAAGGAGATGGTCTGCCATCTACACAGCAGGCCATCTGAAGGAGACGGTGGTCCATATTTCTCTAAGCCAGCAATTCCCAAACTGTGGGTTGTGACCCTAAATGGGGTTGCAACATCAGTGAATGCAGCTCAGATGCACGGACGGGACCTGGCACGGCTCTTTCTCCCATGCCAGACCCTGCCCGTGGTGCTGTAGAGGCCCAGGGGAAAGGGTAGCAGGGTGGGGATTCCCAAGCCTGCAGCAGGTATCCTGCATCCTTTCCCCACTCCACAGGCTCCACTCTGGCCGTGCCGCCCATGGGGGAGGGAACAGGGTCGGGGGGCAGGGAGCTGGGCTTCCAGCTCTGGCCTCAGCAACTTCTGCTTCCTGCAGTCAGCAGCCGGGGCCTAGGTGCTGCTGGGGTGGGGGAGCAGGGGGCTGCGGGCCCCGGCCCTGGGGCATCTGGGGAGAGTGGGAGTCTGCGGATTGGAAGTGAGGGGCAGCAGCAAGGGCGGGGGCTATGGGTTGGGAGTGAGGGGCACCTGGAGGGTGGGGGGCTGTGGGTTGGGAGTGAGGGGCATCAGTAGGGCCAGGGAGCTGTGAGTCGGCAGTGCAGGGCACCTGGGGGGTGGGAGGCTGCGAGCTGGGAGTTGAGGGGCCATGATGTGAACATGGGGTCATAAATGGGGTCACGCTGAGGAAAAGTTTGGGAAGCACTGCTCTAAGCCGTGACTTCTCAACCTAGTTGTTTTACATCTCTGTAAATATTAATCCCAGTTCTCAAGAAAGCACACTTCCTTTATGTTCCCAATACAGAATTGAACATTGAAATCTTTCTATTTACCTTATAGTTATGTGAGACCTTTCAAGCCCTCAGCTTATTCACTGATCACCATGTATATTAGTGATTTATGAACTCTTGCACACACAGAATACTGTGCAGGAATAGATGATGTTGCATGCATGTGCCTTCAGGTTATAGGGAAAATAGCATGTTGTAATGTAACTGCAAAGAGCTGTATGGTGCATGGGTAGGGCCCAAGGCAGTGGAGTTAAAACAGAGATGCCTTAAATTTCCCACATTCCCAGTCCAACAGCCAAAATCACCACAAAGGCTGTGGTGTACCACCTTGACATTGTCATCTCACTGTTTTAAACATGTATTTATTATTGGCCGTAACAGGTATATATCAAAGTTTGGAAAACCTGTTTACACAGCATCTGCATGTCTGTAATATCATATGGCTGTAAAAAGTGAACAATAGAGCAGTTCAGTGATTTAAGGTTTACATCTTCCCTGTGAGGAATGGCACAGCTTTAACCAAAGATATCTTTGCCTTATGATATGTGATCTCCAGTCACATAACTGGTATTAATAATGTGAAACCAATGGAGTGAAATGAATAGATTTGCAACATAATTGAGTAAAAATGGGTAAAAGGTGCTGCTTTGGCAACTGTGGGTATCAGAAGGTCAGGTTCTAAGTATTATCACACAGCTCAGCATGCAGTGCATTGCATTCATATGGTATATGTGATACAAGGTTCGGGAGAGACCTCTGATCGCTCATTTTCTAGGCAGGTGCAGACTCTGGGGAACGTAAAACATGCACACTTGCATTGCAGTGGAAAGTTAGAGGACTGAATAGAAAGATGGTGGGCAGGAAGCCTGGGTAAATTACAATACAGCTCTTGCTGCCATAGTTTATTTGCAGCTAGAGTTCCTGCCATATGGGGTTGAGAACCTGACAAGCATTCTCTCTTGATGAGAAGCGTGCTTTGAGAAAGTTTCATGTTTTTAACACCTTGCACTTGTATACTAGGAAGCTGTTGGTTTTTTTTTAAGTTACTCCAATATTTTTTCATTACATAATGAAGGCAAGGAAAAGTAGTACTCTGCAAATTTCCTTGTGTTGCTTAATACCCAGCACAGACTTTAACCTTTATTTCCTGAATGTTCAAGTAATCTGTGTGTGGGAAA